TCTTGTATTCTGGTGAATATTTCATTACTATTTCTGGCTTGAACGGGTTCGATTTTGCGCGTCTAACAGCCATAAAACACACAGGTTCTAGTAAGTTTATAAAGTTAGTCATTTATAATAGAAACTAATGCTTTGGCATGTAGGAAAGGATTGCACTTTTCTAACGCAAGTCATGTATATTTTAATCTAATTAACTGAACATTTTATTCGGAGTCGGGGCGGGAAACGTCTTATTAAAGTGATTAAAGTAACCAAGTGACTTACGCATAACTTTGTTAACCAATAGGGTCTTGTAGTTCGAACATATTCGAATATGCAAATGAGTTCTATGCAAAGCTGCTTTGTGCAGTGATGATAAGTAACGCGTATCGAACTGTGCGGAGTTCGAAGAGGCCGGTGACTAATAACGGTTCCGGCATTCTGATTGGTCAGTCACTATCTCGTCTCTTGTTCTATTTCCTGGGTTACCTGACGTCAGCGCTTACGCTCGAGGCCCGAGAGCAGGGGTTTCCCGTTGTGTCGTCACCGGAAGCGCTGTCCCAGCACAAACCTGTGTCATATGACGCCGTTGTGTCGTCACCGGAAGCGCTGTCCCAGCACAAACAATCGGTGTAGAAGACGCCGAACTGCAGCGTCAATGATATGACGCCTTGCTAGCCGATTTTAGCTAAAATTCCGTTCCGCCGCCTCTTTACAACAGTGTTTATACACGGAACTTGATTTTGCTTTTTACGATTTGGGTTGCCTTTGAATCACATATTTTAGTGAAACATTGTTTATAGAGTGAAATATTATTGTCATACATAATTCAATCTTTGAAACAACAGAAACTAACACATAATAATGATAATCAAATTTGTGTTTGAAGTTCGAAAGTAGTTGCGTTATTTCCGGTTTCAACTAGTTCGAAAATAGAACGTTCTTGGGCGCAATAATATCATGCGTAGAACTCCATCCGAACCATACTCTAGCAGCGTAAACTTATTGCAATTTGCGCAATTTGGGCCCAGTTTGTTCTTACAAGTTTTCTAAGTTTCATTTATCATTATTTAGTAAACAGGTCTCTGAAACGATTTAATATATCCGTAAAAATACGTGGTAATCTACGATTAATTTCGAACAAACTCCCGGCACACCTAGCGCGATATGTGTCAGATCGGTGTAGAAGACGCCGAACTGCAGCGTCAATGGGGGTTTCCTTTTACTCTCGAAAGTTTGGCAAATAGACAAACTGTTCTTTTATTATAAATTTGCACAAAACAGCGAGAAATGCCAGAAACATCTCAAATATGTAAGTCTAAGCTGGCAGAATGTACGGACATGGCGTAATGAAGAATTGTTTACGTATTTTTTTCAAATTACGTCACTTAGTCACCTGTCTTTGGGCCGGGATTCCGGCCCAGTGGAACAGTACAATGGCGATTACTAGCTACCTGCTATTTTCTACTATCAGTCCAAGGCAACAGAACCATCAGTAAGAACGCATTTATTTATCACGATTCATGATAAAATCACCGCCCGTGGTGGCGAGGGTTACCGCAGGATGGCGACCTGCGTTCTACTTGCCATTCGCAAGGGACTCCGGGAGCCAGCGAATCTTTAGTCAAGAACTCGCTACTAGGTACCTAGTATCGCTGTCGCCAACCAGGAATCGAAGGGGTAGGAATGTCGCCCTCTCGCCAATTTAGATTGTCAGGGCTGTAATTATGGGTATCCCTGTCTGTGGTATCTTCTCTATAGTTTTTGCTGTAAACCCCTCTGATAGTTTCTATAAAATGATCGAATGCATTGTAATATGGGGTATGTGTGTATGATTTATGACGGTTTGAATGAGAGCACCTACGCTAAAACCGTCAGTCAATGAGTTACATGTTTACTATGCGTGAAGTTGTACTCAATGGGATAACAGTAAACATATGAGAGAGAGGTGCTAGGGAGACCATCGGTAACTCAGAGTTGAACGTAGCTAATTGTTGCGACGAGACGCATACACGCATTGGGGCATCACTTTTTTATGAAGTTAAAAAAAGAGGCTAACATTTTCGAGGACTTAGTATCGCTAAGTTGCCATAGTAATACTTACATTTTGTTTAATTGTTTTAGTGTGGGTACATTTTCACTAACACGCTTTCGGTGTAAAAGATATTTACATTGATCTTGTGAGATCAACCCCGTAAGGTTCGAAAATGGCCGAATATATTTACAAGTGGATGCACACCGTTCGTAACAAACTAGAAAGTCTGGATGTAGCCAATACTCGCTATAAAAAGAACTTTAGACATGAATCAAGATGTAATAGAATTGCATTTATTTCATTTTAACATATCTTGACTGAACTCACACTGAATTGCAATAACCTTTAAAATTAAGTTTAGTAGTTTCGCGTGGGTATGTAGAAATAAAATGAATGGTTCGAATTCGTTATTGTTCGCTGTACGTAGTGATGGTAAGACAATGTTCGTACTACTTCGAAGTGTCGACTCGCTGGTTGGATACCGAGAGAGTTTTTAAAGGAATACCGGTAGTTATCGTCTTGTATTTAACTGGTGTGTCAATTGGATGGCTGATTTTTTACATCGTTTGCGTCTTGGCTTGGTTCTTGCACTCTGCTGACGTGCTGGTTTGATAAAGAGCGTTCTTGCATCATTAATTTGGTTTACTAAACGGGTGATTACTACTTGTTGATTATTGGTGGCGGTGTGTTGGTTGATTTACTGCTGTGCTGATGGTTGTCTACGCTCGTTGAAAGTATCGTTTAGCGACAATGTCCACGCCGGGTTTGCTCATAGAGAACACCATCTCGTCTCCGTTGACTTCGCGGGTTTCCACTACGGTACCAGGCTCAACGCCTTTGATGGTGACTGTGTTGCCTTCCACAGAAGCCACTGCCTGTCTCTCCTTACCGAATACGGCAAAGGTCTCAGTGAACGGCACACCTGGCTGGAATTTCTGTTCGATGGTATTGCCCTTTTCTCCAGTTATGATGATTGAGAAGTTATCTCCGTTCCTGTCGCAGCTCACGGTGGTGGTAGCGTTCTCGGCTATTTTAGCCTTTTCAGCCTGTGCACCGGCGGCCAGCATGAACTTCTCGACATTCTCGCCTTTGACGAACTTCCAGTTACCTTTGAAAGACATGGTTCTTGACGGTGAGTAGTGCTACTGATACTTCGAAGTAGTGACGAGTCTTTGCTATGTTGCTGCTGCTGCTGCGAGAGTGAAGAACACTAACAATTCGAACGCAATTTATACTATATTTTAGGATTTTAGGGGGATTATGCTATTTACTTTACAGGGGTGTTCTGTGTGGATTGTCACCCGTGCTCTGCGGCAGTCAAACCACCCATGATGTCGAACTTTGCACATAAGCTACCGTGCACGAAATAGTTTGAACCAGTCATATTATACCGCAAATCAAAATTGACCATTACGATTCGGACAACCAAATTTATCGCCAATATTATTTATTCTTTCTTTCATTTATTATATTAAATTGTATTGGAGACATCACCCGGTATCATAAAAGTTTGAAGTGGCGCCCGTACTTGTTTAGTGTCGTAAACATTCATTGTCGCATGTTTATTCGTGTCAGGCTAATATCTTGTTCTTAAAAATCTATTCATTTTATTTTAAAAGACGGTGTTGGGTGCCAGCCATGTTTGTTAGCGGCGTTTTTTTATACTCATATACTCTAGACTGTCATTTACTCTGATTTACTAGTTTTAATTTTAACACCGACCTTTTTTCATTTTACAACTCAGGACAACACACCAGTACTGTACCTTATTTTAAATAACAAATATATAAATCTGATACGCAGAAAATGTTATTTCATTTAATAGTTGTGTGTTCTGTCACCGACTCACTCCTATTTCGAGAAAGTTCTGTCGCTGACGTTGCTCCATTGTATGGAGAACGTCAATAGGATTGTCGTTGTCATGGTTATTTCGACTATAGCTATGTATATCATGATTTATTGCAAGAACAAACTTGCACAAGTTTCAACTAATCAGTTAATCACGAAATGAATTTGACGTTTCTGACAGTGTGACAATGTGAAAGAGACATGAAATGTAGTCGATTTCATGTGCGCATGTACTTTATATCTGCTACCGGAACATGATATATTTGTTAATAATTTTTCCAGACGTTTCAGTCACAAATTAACGACCTGAGCAGCATAATGGCTAAATTGACTGAGCGGCCGGTAAGATCACGCATCATACGAAGCCAATATATGTTCGTCCATCGTTCATCTTAACCATAAAAACAAATAAATGTAAGATAAATGCCTGTTAGCCTGTCACAGGGTTAATCACCACAAAATGACCCTAATTAGCACTATTAACCACCATTAACATGTGTGCCCATCTTGAGCGTCTTAGATTCCAGTGAAGCAAATAAATAAAAATAATGTAAATGTAGGCTTAAAGTGTCTGACCTGATCTACCTGATTTTTTCTGAACAAGATATATTTTGGTCCAGTTCAGTTCAAACGTCTCTGTACATTTGATGACATGTGATAAGTTCATGTTGAACTTCCAAATCAACTAAATTTTCAATTTTCATGCATTTTCGCGAAGTCAGTCTATTAAAGGTTAAAAAGTACCCTTTTTTGTTTTTGTAGGTGTGCGAGAAATATATCCATTTCCCCAAGAAATTCAGAACACACATTCCTCGTGTATCCCTCGACCGACCACCAAGTTCCCACAAAGTGAAAAACAGTTCTAAAATATTTCAATTTCACCAAATGTTATACTATTTCAAATCAAATTTGGAAAACTTGATTTCAGTAAGAAAAAAACTGTTCCAAACTGATCACGTGATTACTGTTACTCCCACTTTACCACCATGTCGTTTCAGAATTTAGTGTGACAAAGTGGACGGAAATAAAGGTAAAGGTAATACAGAGTGTGTTTGTTAGTTGAATATCTACTCTACCATCTCACTCTGACTTGTCTCGTCGAGTCACCTACACTCTCTTGTCGGTAGTTGATGGCCATAAAATATATAGGAACAGGTACGTAGGGTTATAAAAGTTCGTTTTTTGAGAATTTGGGTAAAACTAATGAGTTCAGCCAAGCACACATGACCAATCCATAAGACCTAACCTCACAACTTGACAAGTGTTTCCCGAAACTAATATCCTTCCCAAGAATTACACATTTAAAATCATTGTTTTATGAAATGGCCGTTTCCCTAGTTGAGGATCTCGAAGGAATCGTGTTTGACCCATGTACACAGTGTGACAAATCAAGTATTAAATGGTTTTGAGTCGATGGCTGAGATAAGTTCATATAATGCTGAATTTATGATGACATGTTAAATTACATTAAATGTCAATTACGGTGATTATTTCATATTTAATATGTTTTACTGATACTTTTATTACTATGAAATATGTTTGTATTTAGTAGATCCACACTTGCGGTCCGCACTGTCCTAGCAAGGCTGTAACGCCAGCTAGCTCCGAACGAGTCTACTAAATGGCGTAATCGAGTATAAGTATTACGTTGACCAGAAACCGAAAAATAGTCTGTTGTCTATTTTAGAGGTGTTGGTACCGACAGAAGTGACACGCATGTTAGTACATCATGTCAAACAAGTTGAGGAGTTTAAATTTATTTTAAATATGAATAAAACCCACACAGATCCTCGCCCATCACATTTGAAAATGCCATGATTCTGTTAGGGTATAGCTCACACGTTGAATGGGCGGATTTTGGGGGGAAATATTACTACTACCTCCACACTACCTTCAACTTTCTTTGCTTGAGTCGGCCATGACATCTGGATCCAGTGACAGTTACACACGTATTAAACTACTTTTGATAATTAATTACTTTACTATGACATTTAGTATTTTGTCACAGTGAACCATATGATGGATTGCGGACATTAACCACCAATGTTGTGTTGTTAACTTTTGACCAGACCAGGTCTGTGAACTTTGCCATACAGTGACAGTAAGGTATCTTCTCTGAGTAAATTCGACACCTATGCAGTCACCCGATTCTGTACGGATTACGTCAACCAGCAACCTCGAAATTTCGAAAAAGATTGAATATGATGAACACGTTTTAGTTGCTTTATCTAGCTTGGCAGTAGACCCGACACCCTCGTGGGTGACCGTGTTTAAATACCTCATTCCATCGGTAGACGACACAGACACGTGTGTTAAAAATGTAGTCATAAATATTCAGAATATTTCTACTTGAGATCCATTGGAAGCAAAAACTTATTAATTTGAGCTACATTCACTACATATGTAATGAGATCTAGTTAGATTTTTAAAAATAAATATTGATGCATTTTGTTATTTGGTTTGCTCTGGTACTCGAATAAAGCATTATCAGTACACATATTGGCTATGATGATGTTTATGAGATTAAAATCTGTAAATACAAACATTACCAATAATGCATTCATAGGCACTGAGCATCTTGAGATACTGACTGTATCATTTCAAAACTAGATTCACGTAAAAAGACAAGCTCACTCTTGACCAGCAATATAATCATGTTTTTCAAATGACAGTCGATCCTCGGTACTACTCGGTATGGAACCGTACGTTTCTTATTTCATGTTTCTCCGCCGTACAATAAATATCACAACCACTCATGAGATTGATCTAACCCGATAAAATCCGTTAGTTGTTTGACGTAGTTTGGGAATTATCAACAGACTAAATATAATGTTCACAGGTCGTTTCCGGTGTCGGATTTATGTGATTTTTTTTTATCAAGGTGATGATAAACTGAGTTTTTTTTTTATTATGTAGTATAGAATTTGTGCAGTTTCGAGGGCAGAACCACATTTACCGCATTGACTAAAATACGACACACGTTATTCCACACTTTACGGGTAATGTAATCATTCAACCTGTCGCAGAATCAAAAATGACTCTCTGTGTCATTGAAACTTCTTAAAGTGTATTCTTATAATCACATTCCTTCCAATGTACATACATGTATACAGCTAGTGACCATGGAAACGACAACTCATATTGTCGCCCTTCGTACGTTGTTGAAGTTCCAACCGTGACGACAGATTTTCTGAACTTTTACGTGATTTTTCTTTCTTTCTAAAAACCACAATTGTTGCACTTCGAAATTTGCGTGTATCTGCTTACTGGGAATGCCACAGTATACATGTACATGCACCTAATAGGGGCAAACATTCGAGAACATAACTGCCATGAAATATGGCTTTTCGAGAACATTTCAAAATTAAAACAAATAGAAATATGACTCCGGTTTGTTATCTTGAGCCGAAAAACAACAGGCTGATGTTAAAACGAGAAATGTGAATGTGAATTAAACTTGACAAGTAAATGACATTTTTGAA